GCACTGCATTTTCTGGTGTGTTCTAGTTGCGTTACACTTTTTGTACTGAACTTTTTGTTCTGCTTTTAGTGCACTGCACTTTGAGCCCTGCACTTTGCGCTTTGCACTTTTTGCTTTGTACTTTACGCTCTGCACTTTCAGCTCTGTACTTTCTGCTCTCTACATATTACTGGTTTTAATAGTTGAATCCAAAACCAGAGTTCCAAGTTTAATTTTTTGTCAAGAAATCATTCAGAGTGGAATAAAATCCCGAACTGGTTTATACAACAATATATTACAACATTTCTAAATTAGTTTCAAATTGGTTCGGATTGTGCACTGCACTTTCTGCTGTGTTCTAGTTGCTCTACACTTTTTGGACTGCATCATTTGTACTGCACTTTCTGATCTGTCTTTTTTAAACTGCTGATTGAAAAGTACGAGTTACTCGAAGTAATTCGTAGATGTAAAAAAAACGCGGCTCAGTTTTAAAAAATGTGTTCGGTGTGTACCGCTCAGTGTAATATTTAATTTTTATGTTCCAGTACCTCTTCCGTTTGCTGTGAAAATTGTAAACTGAACTGGAACTATAGTACTCTCTTCATAGTTTAACAATAATTGGTTTTGAATCGATATTAAATTAGTTCTATTGACTCCATGGATTTACTCCTTTCTGTTTTGTCTTCTCTACCGATAATAATTCTAAATTACTTTCGAATTGGCTCGAATTTTGCACTGCACGTATTTTAGTTGCTCTATATATTTTGAACTGTACCATTTGTACTGCAAATTATGCTCTGTCCTTTTTGCACTGCACCTTCTGCTGGATTCTTGCTACTCTACGCTTTTAGCCCTGCACTTTCTTGCATTTTAAGCTCTGCACTTTCTACTCTATACACTGGCAATAGCTTCTATCAAAATGGGAATTCAGAACTGATTTGGAAAAATTCGCAAACGCAATTAAAATTAAATTATTTGCTCTAGAGCAAACTGAGTTCCCATGTTGAAAGTGCAGGGTAAAATTTTGTGTTTGGATTGATTCGAGTCATAATCGAGCAACATGTAATGTTCCATTAACCAAGCCGAGTAGTGATTCAGATTTTTGGAATAACGAACAGTTGAGATCGGAGTGGAACCGCTTTCATGTTCGCTCTTTTTCATAGTGCAGTGATAATTGAAATAATTGCACTTTTAAGCTGCTTAGAGCGAGTAAAAGTGCATTAGAATCAGTTCCAAAGTGATTCTAAATTAGTTTTAACGATTCAACAAAAACTAGTTCGAGATAGTTCTGAGTTTGTTAGTTGTAAGGATTTGATCTAAAAGCAAAGTCAAAAATAAGCGTTCCCTGTTTTGAAGGAATTTATGGTAAAATAAAATCTCGACTCCAGTTTCTAAATGTCTGTACTTTCTGTCTTGCACTTTTAGCTCTGCACTTTCTGCGCTGCACTTTCCACTCTGCTTCTTACACTATGTGCACTACTCTTTCTGTCCTGCACTTTTTTTCTCTGTACACTGTAAGATTAACATCTCTCAAAATCACTGAAATAGTAATTTTAAACATTTGAAACTATTCGCATACGCAATTTAAATTATGTCATTTACGGATCAATAAATTCTAATTGCTCTAGAGCACAATGAGCTGTTATTTTGAAAGTGCAGCGCAAGGTTTCGTGTTTGGTGTTTGATCCGAATCACGAGCAACATTTTAAGTGTTCGATTACTCAAGCCAAACAGGTTTGGATTCGGAATTTTCAGTACTGTGAGTGCAAATTGTAAAACTGCAAATTCGAATTTTATTAATTCAAACTATTTTGAAGTCAAATCGACACCACTCTTTTTTAGAGTGCAATACTGCACTTTTAGGCTACTTAGAGCGAGTGCAAGTAAGTTGAAAGTTCCATGCTCTTTGTTCAATTTGAATCGGTTCCGGAGTGATTCTAAATAAGTTTTAACGATTCAACTAATACTATGTAAATTCAAAACTAAGAAAGAGTTCTGAGTTTACTGGATCTAAGGACTTAATCCAGAACCAGAACTAAAAGATTTTGACTCTCTCTACCACAATTCTAATAGCGCGTTTCCATTTGTCGACCCAGTGCAAAAAAAATGTATCCTTATCTCCTTACATGTTACATGCTCTTAGGAAGAGATGCGGATTCACTCAATGCGCACTGATTGACAAATGGAAATCGTCAGTTTCAGATTAGTTTAGATTGTGCACTGCACTCTTTGTTCTATTCTAGTTGCTCTACACTTTCTGAACTGCATTTCTTGTACTGCATTTTCTGTTCTGTCTCATCTGCACTGTACTTTTAGCTCTGTAGTTTTGTTTGCGCATCAACAAATTTTACTTGTTCTAGAACTCACGCAGTTCCGATTTTGAAAGTATAGTGCAAGTCTCTACCATCATTTTCAATTCTACACTTCCTGAACTGCATTTGTTGTACTGCATTTTCTGTTCTGTCCCATCTGCACTGTACTTTCAATTCTGTAGTTTCGTTTGCGGATCAATAGATTTTACTTGTTCTAGAACACGCTTAGTTTCCATTTTGAAAGTGTAGTGCAAGTCTCTACCACAATTCTAAATTAGTTTCAAATTGGTTTGGATTGTGCACTGCACTTTTTGTTCTATTTCAGTTGCTCTACACTTTTTGAACTGCATTTTTTGTAATGGACTTTCTGTTCCGCACTTCCACTTCTTCGATTGCGGATCAATAAATTCTACTTGTTCTAGAACACACTCAGTTTCTATTTTGAAAGTGTAGTGCAAGATTTCCTGTTCGGAATGATTCGAGACACGAGCTTATAGAAACTGAGTTCAAATATTATTTAGGGCGGGTATTATAAAACTACTTTGAAAGTTAACTTCTGGATTTACATGTAATTCAAAAAGTTAACTTCAAGTTAACTGTCAAAGCAGTTTTATAAAACCCGCCCTTATTTAAACATGTTGAGATCAGAATGGAACCGCCTGCTCTATACTCTGTTCACCCAACCTACGGAGTGTAAATCAACAAAACCTTCAAAAAGGTTCGTTATTATTGGTCCCGTCATTTTGACTCTGTCATACTCCGTAGGTTCCTTGGACAGAGTTTAGAGCTGTTTTCTCGCGGTGGAACTGGTTCGACCCGGTTCAATTAGGTTCGAACCTGTACATTCTTGCGTTGAACCAGTGACGTCACATTGAACCTGGTTCATAAAAGTTCGAACCGCCTCATGGCTTGTTCTCCGTTGACATAAAACTGTGGTTCAAACCTTTCATTTTCTCGCGGTCACAAGTGATGACGTCATCGTGAAATTGGTTTAAACCGTAGTTCGAACCATTCGCCCCGCGAGAAAACGCCTCGATCTTTTTTTTTTCACAGTGCAACTGAAGTTTTAGGCTGCCTAGAGCGAGTACAATTTGGTTGAAATTACCACTATAGTTCTTTTTTCAATTACAATCGGTTCCGGAGTAATTTTTAATTAGTTTTCACGATTCAGCAAAAACTATAAGCAAGAGAGAGTTCTGAGTTAATTCAGAACCAGAGTTAAAAGATTCCCTTTCTGAACTGCACTTCTTGAAATTCTCTTTTTGCTTTGTTCTTTTTGCACTGTACTCTCAACTCTGCACAGTCTGTTCAAAACTATTTTCGAAATGAGAATACAGAACTAGTAGCATAGTCAGTTCAAATTATGCCGGTCGCGGATCAATAAATTCTTTCTACACTGGAGCACACTGCAGTACATAATTTTGCATTTGAATTGATTCAGGATAGCCGCATTTTTACGGAACAAAGTTGCCTAGAACGAATGCAAAATCAGTTCCGAAGTTCGAGACTCGGAGTTTCGAGAATGCATTTCATGTTCCGAAATAAAATCCTGCACTCAAAATAAAAATTAAGAACTCATTCGGAACTGTTCGCTAATTCTGTTCAAATTATGTTGTTCGAGGATCAATAAATTCTACCTGCACTGGAGCGCAGTCAGTTCTTATTGTGGTTGAGGATTTCGTGTTCGAATTGATTCAAGGCAATCGCATTTTAAGGTACAAAGCTGTTTAGAGCGACTGCAGAATCGGTTTCCGAGTGACTCTGAACTAGTTCTAATAGTTCTAGTAATTCAACAAGAACTAAAAGTTCAAGAATGGAAGTTCTGAACTTGGGTTTCCTGTTCCGAAATAAATCCTGCACTCGAAATAAGAATCCAGAACTGATTCAGAACTAATTCAATTCAGTTCAATCAAACTATGCCAGTTGCGAATGAATAAACTATCTCTGCATTGGAGCAAACTTAGTTCCTAATTTGAAACTGTAGTACAAGATATCAGATTCGGATTGATCCTGTACGATCGCATTTTTGCGGTACGAAGCTACATAGAGCGAATGCAGAATCGGTTCTGGAGTGATTCTAAACTGGTTCTAGCGATTCAACAAAAACTAATATGTTCGAAAATGAGTTCCGTGCTCGGAAATAAAATCCTGCACACGAAATAAGAATTCAAATTCGCATATTCTGTTCAAATAATGCCGATTGCAGTTCAATGAATTCGCCTAATTCCTAACAAGATTTTGTGTTCGGATTGATTCAGTGCAATCACATTTTTATAGTACGAAACTGCCTAAAGCGAGTGCAAAATCAGTTCTGGAGTGATTCTAAACTAGTTTTGATGCTTCTAGCGATTCAAACAAGAACCATAAGTTCAAAACTTAGAATTTCTAGTTTACTTTTTCTGTTCCGAAATAAAATCTTGCACTCGAAATAAGAATTCAGAACTGATTTTGAACTATTCTTGTACACAGTTCAGATTATGTCGTTCGTGGATCAATAAATTCTATTTGCACTGGAGCATAATCAAATCCTACAGTACAACCGTATTTTCGCCTAGAACTAGTGCAAAATCGGCTCCGGAGTGATTCTAAATTACTTTTATCGGTTCTGCACTAGTTCACCTGTAACTCCTAAATTAATTCAAACAAAAATACTCCACTTGCCAAATATTTAATAAATAAATTACAATTTACAATACAAATTACAAATTATTATTTTTTCTTTTTGGGCGCCAACTCTAATCCTCGAATATACCGTTTAGGAATCTTGTACTTTTCCACAAGCAAATCGTGCACGAAAACCACTTGGTTGCCCTGCACTAATAATTGATCCGATTTTTTCCCTGGAGGTGCTGGAGTTATGCTGGTACTTGCCGCTACTCCATGCTGACACTCTTTAGCAAACTCGTTAATATTCACTCCGAACACTTCTAGATTGTCAATTAGTGTAACTTTTTTGTTACCAGATCGGACTTTTACAGTCATGCTTATTGGTTGGACTTTGCCTTTGTTTAAAATTTGTTCCTGTTGTTGGGTTGATTTTACTTTGAAGCAGGATTTCATTGATTCAAAGGTTTTTTCAAATGCTTCTTCCCAAGTGATGGGGTTTTGGGTTTTGCAAATTGTTTGTAGGAGTTCTGTATTGGGATGGATTAGTTTGTTGTTGTCTGGTGATTGGGAGTTGTTTTGTTTGATGTAGTCTGTGAAATGTTTGCGGATGTTTGGGCCTTCAATTGTGTCTCCCTTGCGGTATCCAGCTGGTTGGAATATTGGTAATACGGTTGCAGTTATTACATAAGACTCTGTTATAATGGTTTGTTGGTTGTTGTCAGAGTCTTTTTTGGGTCTTAGATCTGGTTTTAAGTAAAACTCGCAATATTTTGGGTGGTTTTTGTTTATGTTTGTGATAGCTTCAACTCCTTTTTTGATTTCTGTTACGGTTATCAGGCCAGTTTTGCTCATTTCATCTAAAAAAGGCTTAAGTTTTTTGTAGGAGGTTTTCTTTAAGTCTAAATTTGAGCCTTCAGGGCACATTGGCAACATTTGAAGTTTGAAAAAGTTTGAAATTAATAGGGGCAAAGTTAAAGTTTTCGAGTATTTTATTGAGGCCAAGAAGCAATAGTGCAAAAGCTCATCTACATCATCATCATTATCCTCAATACTAATTTCTTCTATAACTTCTTGAAGTTCTTTTAATGGCTCAGGTTCTACCAATGATGGTTTTACCTCATTGAGTTTTACCTTGACCCCGCCCAATGCAGGAAAATCATCGACATAATCCTTCAAAGTCAACCAATCAGGTGGTCCAAAATTAGGCAAACTAATAGAATTTCCATCAATATTATACAAATAATCTCCATAAAAATGTAAAATTTTAACACATTTCCCTTTGCCTCCTGCTCGTTCCATTTCAAATGAACTTTGAGCTGCCATTCCAACAGCAACTGCAGCTTTATTGTCAGATAAGTTAACATAAACAGGAGTCCCTTCTAAAACGTTGTTATATCTTGGCAATCCTGGGGGTGTTAATACACCTGGCAACATCAAATCAGCTCCAGAATTAATAAAACTCATTACCTGAGGATGCGTAGTGAAATTGGGTATCAAATGGGGCAGTTTCCATAAAAGAAAAACTGTAGGGAATATTTTGTCTCTAAGACTAAAGAAAATTGGTTGTTTTTGTATGAGATAAACTTGTAATACTTCATTATCGTGGGTTACAAGTTTTATACAGTTTAAAGGCTCTTTTTTGTTGTTTAAAAGTGAATTTACCTCTTGTTCAGTTGCTTTGGGGAAACTCTTGCAAAACAGGTCTTTGATGGTTTTTCGTTCGGAGCCCTTCGCTAGGTTGTTACTCTTGATTTTTACTGGTTTTTTAAACATTTTTAGTGGGTATTTTTCAGCTTTTTTTGAAACCTAACCTTGTTGTTTGTTTTTGAAAAAAAAAAGTGAGGTTAGATTTGTGTGACGTTGTCAAGATTCGTGAAAGGGGTTTTCACTTAGCATCTCCTATAACTGCTCCACTTGTTCTATTAAAATCTTATGGATTTTTATTATTTGTTTATTCCCAGGCTTTTGAAATTTTGTTGTAGCTGTTTTTATGCATCAAAAAACATAGCTACTACTAGATTCGGGTAGTCGAACACTCAAAATATTGTTCGCTGGTGATTCGAATTAATCCAAACATTAAATCTTGCACTACACTTTCAAAACGGGAATTGAGTGTGCTCTAGAGCAAGTAAAATTTATTAATTTGCGAACTGTACAGTGCAGATAGGATAGAACAGAAAGTGTATTACAAGAAATGCAGTCCAGAAAATGTAGAGCAACAAAAATAAAACAAAAAGTGCAATGCATACCTAATCCGAACCAATTTGAAACTAATTTAAATGTAAAGAGAGTCGAGATTCTAATTTACCATGAATATGAATGCTTTCGAAATAGGAAACAGAAACTTTTAACTCTAGTTTTGAATCAAAATCCTGGAGCCAACAAATTCATCAAAACTCTCAGTTTCAAACTTATAGGTTTTGCTGAATCGTTAGAACTAATTAAAAATTACTTTCGACGAACTAACACTTGCTTTAGAGAATTAATTCGGAATTCCTAATTCCAAAAAAGTTACTGTTACAGTATGCAGTGTGGTACAGAATCTGCAGAGCTGTACGAAACAGAACAAGCAGAAACGTCACCAATTTAGAATCACTCCAGTTCCAATTCTAATTGAAACACGAACAAAAAGCTCGGTTCTACTCCGATCTCAACAGAATTTGAATTATTGAAACTTGAACTGAGTTTTTAAAAAATGCTCTATGAGAAAACTACTCGGTTATTCGAACACCTTGAATGTTGCTCGCTCGTGACTCAAATCAGTCCGATCACGAAATCTCACGCTGCACTTTTGAAATTAGGAACTGAGTTTGCTCCCAGGCTCCAGTGCAGGTAGATTTGCGAACAACCTAATTTGATCTGAGTATGCAAAAATGGTTTTGAATTCCTATTTCGGAACAGGAAAGACAAGTTTCCCATTCTCAAACTTATGTTTCTTTTTGAATCGCTAGAACTAGTTTAAAATCACTCTGGAATCGATTTTGCACTCGGTTTAGGCAGCTTCGTTCCGTGAAAATGCGATTGCACTGAATCAATCCGAGCACAAACTTTTGTTTTGAATTTTCAAAATAGGAACTGAGCGTGCTCTAGTGTAAAGATAATTTATTGATCCGCAACCGTCATAATTTGAACAGAATATGCGATCTCTTATTTATTTCGAGTGCAGGATTTTATTTCGGAGCACGTAACGCAAACTCGAAACTCATTCTTGTTAATTCGCTAGAACTAGTTTAGAATCACTCCAGATCCGATTCTGCATTCACTCTATGTACCGTGAAAATATGATCGTACTAAATCAATCCGAACCCGAAATCTTGTACTTGCACTTTTAAATTAGGAACTGAGTTTGCTCTAGTGCAAAGAGAATTTATTCATTCACAACCGGCATAGTTTGATTGAACTGAATAGGCGATTAGTTCTGGATTCTTATTCCGAGGGTAAGATTTTATTTCAGAACAGGATAACGCAAGTTCAGAACTCCCATTCTCGAACTTATAGTTCTTCTTGAATCGCTAGAACCATTAGAACTAGTTTAAAATCACTCCAGAACTAATTTGCACTCGCTCTAGGCAGTTTAGTTCTGAATTCCTATTTCAAAAAAAGCGATTGTCACAGTGTGCATTACAGAAATTGCATGCTAAAAACGTTAGAACAGAAAGTGCAGTACAATTGCAGTGAAAAAAGTGTAGAGCAACTAGAGTAAAATCACTCCGAAATTGTTTCTGCACTCGCTCTAGGCAGCTTTGTACCGTAAAATGCGATTGCTCTGAATCAATTCGAACACGAAATTTTCATTCATTATAAGAACTCAGTGTGCTCCAGTGCAGGTAGAATTTATTGATCCTGGAACAACATAATTTGAACAGAGTAAGCGAATAATTCTGAATCAGTTCTTAGTTCTTATTTCGAGTGTAGGATTTTATTTCAGAACATAAAACGCATGCTCGAAACTCCGAATCTCGAACTTATGGTTCCCGTTGAATCGCTATAACCGTTTAGTTAGAATCGCTCCGGAACTGATTCTGCGCTCTAGGCATGCAATACTGCAGTGTGCTACAGTGTAAAAAGAATTTATTGATACGCGACCGGCATAATTTGCACCAAGTAAGTATACTAATAGTTCTGTATTCTCATTTCGAAAATAGTTTTGAACAGGAAAGTGCAGAGCTGAAAGTACAGTGCAAAAAGAACAGAATAGAAAGTGCATTACAAGAAGTGCAGTTCAGAAAGGGAATCTTTTAACACTGGTTCTGAATTAAATTCCTAGAACCAGCAAACTTAGAACTCTCAGTCTCGCTGAGTTTTTGTTGAGTCGTCAGAGTACAAAAAGAATTACTCCGGAACCGATTGTAAATGAAAAAAGAACTGTAATGGTACTTTTGACCAAATTGTACTCGCTCTCAGTGAAATTTCGAATTAATAATATTTGAACTGTGGCCGAGTTCGTTTTTGTTATCTTTCTCGTCGATTTGCTCCAAACTTTTGACAGGCACGTGATTTGTAAATTGAAACTGTTTGATCCAGTCACGTGCCTGTCAACATTACGGAGCAAATCGACAAAAAAGATGACAAAAACGAACTCGGCCTGTGTTATTATGCGCAATCAATCCGAACACGAAATAATGCAGTACACTTCCAAAATGGAAGCTGTATGTGTTCTAGAACAAGCAGAATTTATTGATACGAAAACGAAACGACAGAGCTGAAAGTACAGTGCAGATGAAACAGAACAGAAAGTCGAGTAAAAGAAATGTAGTTCAGAGAGTGTAGAGTAACTAGAATAGAACAAAAAGTGCAGTGCACAACAAGTGAAATTTATTGATCCGCAAATAGAACTACAGAGTTCAAAGTACAGTACAAATGGGACAGAACAGAAAATGCTACAAAAAATGTGGTTCAGGACGTGTGGAGCAACTGGAATAGAACAAATAGTGCAGTGCACAATCTGAACCAATTTGAAAAATTTAAAATTGTGGTAGAGACTTGCATTACACTTTCAAATTAGAAACTGGGCGTGTTCTAGAGCAAGTAGAATTTATTGATCCGCAAATGAAACTATAGTGCAGATGGGACAGAACAGAAAGTCCAGTACAATAAATAAACTTCAGAAAGTGTAGAGCAACTGGAATAGAACAAAAAGTGTAGTGTACAATTTAAAGCAAATTGAAATTAATTTAGATGGTAAAGACTTGAGGCGTTTTAATTCTCGCGGGGCGAATGATTCGAACTACGGTTTAAACCAATTCGTAGATGACGTCATCACTTGTGAACGCGAGAAAATGGAAGGTTCGAACCACAGTCTTATGACAACGGAGAACAAGCCATGAGTCCGGTTCGAACTTTTTTGAACCAGGTTCAATGTGACGTCACTGGTTCATCGCAAGAATGTACAGGTTCCAACTTAATTGAACCGGGTCGAACCAGTTCCACTGCGAGAAAACAGCTTTGCACTACACTTTCAAAATGGAAACTGAGCATGTTCGAGAACAAGAAGAATTGGTTGATCTGCAAACGAAACTTCAGAGTTAAAAGTACAGTGCAGATGGGACAGAATAGAAAATATAGTACAAAAAATGCAGTTCAAGAAGTGTAGAGCAACTGGAATAGAACAAAAAGTGCAATGCACAATTTCAAACTGATTTAGAATTGCGGTAAATTGTGCCCTAGATTAAGTAGAATTTATTTGTTTTGCAAGTGATATAATTTAAATTTCATACGCTAATAGTTCCGAATCAGTTCTAAATTCTTATTTTAAAGGAAGCTATTGTCACAGTCTGCAGAACAGAAAGTGCAGAACTGAAAGTACAGTGCAGAAAGAACAGAACAGAGAGTTCATTGAAAGAATAGTTCAGAAAGTGTTATTAAGCAACTAGAGTAGAGTAGAAAGTGCAATGCACATTCCGAACTAATTTGGAACCGATTTATATATAGAGAGACGGGATTTTATTCTACCATGAATGGTTTTAAATTAAGGAATGGAAACTTTTAATTCTGTTTCTGGGTACAAAACCTCCTATAAAACCAACTAATTTAGAATCACTCCGGAACCGAATCTAATTGAACCGCAAACAATAAACATAAAATCAACTTAAGCTGGGTTCGGCTATTCAGCGCGGAGTTGGAGTGGAGTGAACAGAGCTAATGGAGTTACCCCTAATACAGTAAAAAGCAATACCCGAACGGCTGGAGTGCGAATGGAGTCACTCCGAGTGCACGGAGTGAACAAGCCGAACCCACCTTTAAAGTACTGAAAGGAATTTTCATTCTAGATTTCTCATAACTGCTCTATATGTTCTATTGAAATCTTTTCATATGAAATACAACCATCAATTATTTATTTTCGTTGACAAGTAATAGTAGTATCGTCACTCTTCTTTGGTAAGAAATTCAGTGAAGCCGAATTGATGCAAAATCTCTTCTTAGTAGGCGGCGGTCCGTCGTTGTAAACGTGCCCCAAATGCGAGCTGCATATGGAACTGATATTTCGAACACAGAGTCAATTGTAAAATTACTTTCGATAACTTGGTGTACAGTATAAAAATCAACATGGTCGTTCAGAGAGTCAGATTAAGGGCGGGTTTTATAAAACTGCTTTGACAGTTAACTAAAAGTTAACTTCTGGAATTACATGTAATTCAAAAAGTTAACTTTAAGTTAACTGTCAAAGCAGTTTTATAATAACCGTCCTAAATCGTTCAAAAAACGTCTCTTCGAACAGTTGGAGCGGCTTTTTTAACAAAATGGTTTGGTGTAAGAGAAATGGAACAATATAATTATTATGTTCTGAACATATAAAGAGTCACTCTTTCAATTCCAAATGCCAATTCAAGGACGCATTAGAAAAACTCAGTGTACTCGGAGTATGATGGAACTGATATCTCGAAAACAGAGTAAATTATCTAACTACTTTCGATAATTTGAGGCGTTTTCTCACTGGGCGAATAGTTCAAACTACGGTTTAAACCAAGGTTGTTTGAGAGAGGTAGGTTGCCTGATAACTTTATAACATCATCTGGGGGAACCTTAACATAACATAAATCTCCATAGCACCTCAAACGCGTCATCGGGTTACCCATTATCAGGTAACCTAGAAACTTTAGAAACCTTGGGTTTAAACCAATTTGTAGATGACGTCATCACTTGTGAACGCGAGAAAATGGAAGGTTTCAGTCTTATGTCAGTGCAGAACAAGCCATGAGTCCGGTTCGAACTTTTTTGAACCAGATTCAATGTGACGTCACTGGTTCAACGCAAGAATGTACAGGTTCGAGCCTAATTGAACCTGATCGAACCAGTTTTACCGCGAGAAAACAGCTGGAGTGTGTTTAGAATTGGAGTGTGAAGGTAAAGTAGTCGTTTATCAGAATGTTCTGACGTCATCACTTGGATTGCACTCTGGGTGTGCTATTTCTGAACGTATTGGGGCTTTGTGGTGAACGTCCATGTCATAAATCACGTCAAACCCGGTAAAAACCAATGTAAAAACCGCGAGGCGTTTTTCAACCCAATTCCTGAGTGGGGTAATTTGGGCGCACTCTGGGCACGTCAACTCTCGATTTCTGAACGATTCCAGTGTAATGTTCCGAGTAAGCACCTGTTAATTTATGAACGGTTTAGAGTTACCTACTCTAGGATCACTCTCACACCCAGAGTGCTATTTCTAAACGCAACCCTGTGGTGTGCGGTATTAAAACCATCATGGTAGTTCAGAGGGTCAGAGTAAATATTAAATGGTTCGAAAAGTCTCTTTGGACAGTAGAGCGGCTTTTTTAAAGAAATGATTTTGTGTGAGAGAAAGGGAACAATATAATTAATGTATTCTGATTACATAAAGAGTTACCCTTTTAATTCAAAATGCCATTTCAAGAACGCATTAGAAGAACCCAGTGCACTCGGAGTATAATGGAACTAATATCTAGAACACAGAGTCAATTGTAAAACTAAACCGAAGTACTTTCATGATTCCATAAACTAATCAAACGGTTTCGCGAGAAACTCATGACGTCATATTAAACCGAAGCATAGACGCAACTTCAAGCCAGCGTTCAAACTCATGACGTCACAAATGAACTATTGATGAACTTAATTCGTCGCGAAAATTCGATTCTACTTTCGATAACTTGAACCGAATTTTCGCAACGAACTACTTCCATGATTTCATGAACACAAACGCTTTCGCAAGAAACCCATGACGTCATATTCAACGTAGTTTGACGGAAGTATGGATGCAGCTTCTAGACAGCGTTCAAACTCATGACGTTACAGACAAATTATGGTTTGTCCTTGGATGAACTACATTCTTCGCGAAAATTCGGTTTTGGTATAATCATCATGGTCGTTCAGAAAGTTAGAGCATCAATTAAATAGTTCGGAAATGTTTCATCGAACAGTTGGAGCGACTTTTTTAACAAAATGTTCTGGTGTAAGAGAAATGGAACAATATAATTAGGTTGTTCTGAATTCATATATAGAATTACTCTTCCATATCAAAATGCCATTACAAGAACGCATTAGAATAATTCGGTGCACTCGGAGTATAATATGGAACTGATATTTCGAACATAGAGTCAATTGTAAAACTACTTTCGAAAACTTGGTGTACAATATAAAAATCATCATGTCAGAGTATAGATTAAATAATTCGAAAACGTCTCTCTGAAATGTTGGAACAGCTTTGTTAACAAAATGTTTTGGTGTAAGAGAAATAGAACATTATATTTATTGTGTTCTGAACACATAAAGAATTACTCTCTCAGTTCAAAATGCCATTTCAAGAATCAGAGTGTCATAGTATAGAGTAAATCGTTCGAAAACGTCTCTCCGAACAGTTGGTGTAAGAGAAATGGAACAATATAATTAATCTGTTCTGAACACATATAGGGTTACTCTTTCAATTATTGAAGACGGCTTTAGAAGAACTCAGTGCACTTGGAACATAATGGAACTGAAATCCCGACTACAGAGTCAATTGTAGAGCCATGTTCTATAACTCGGTGTGCGGTATAAAAATCATTTTTGTCGTTCAGGGAGTCAGAGTGTGGATAAAAATCCTGCAATTTTTGCCACGAAAACAATAAAAACAAAATATTGACAATGTTATTTGAAAACTCCGAGTAAAATCGTGAAAATATTTTTTGTCCCAATATAACATTATCGAACGTGCCCTAGTGCACCCGAAAATAAACTATTTCTGTCTGCTTCTTTCACAGGCTGATAGAAAAAGATGCATCAACACTTTGTACAAAATACCGAATGAAAACGCCTATAGCAATCAGCTGTTCTGAATTCAAATTAAATTAAAAATAAACACCAAAAAACACTTAAAATTCTTACGTAATTTGATACACGAGTGTATGTTTTCAGTCTAGTACCTTATATAGGCACATTTAATGCATAGACCAGCTAATCTTGTTAGTAGATTATTGGTGAGAGTCAGTACAAGACCAAGCAAAAGTTATTTTTCAAATTTTAAACAGAGTAACTCTAAAATGACTGAAAAAATTAGCAAAGAAGAATTGAAAAAGAAGCTGACCCCGTTGCAGTATCACGTCACTCAAGAAAAAGGAACTGAAAGGCCTTTTACTGGTAATTTATAATTTTTTTCTGGTGAATTTTATCAAATGCCAATTTTTAGGGGTTTACAATAAAAATTACGACGAAGGGTTGTATGTTTGCTTAGTGTGCGAACAACCCCTATTCAGTTCAAACACCAAATACGATTCCAGTTGTGGTTGGCCAGCATTCAATGACGTTTTGGATCAGGGCAAGGTTAAACTTACACCAGACACAAGCGGAGGTATTTGATTTTGATTTATTTATTATTCCAGTTCATTGACTGGAAAGATTAATTTGCCTTGCTATAGTCTATTCACTTTCAAGTTGGAGTAACATTTTTATGACCGCCAAAAAATTCAAAAAAATTGTCACTGTCAAATTTTGTTTGACATATTAGGCGTTTTCATAAAGTTGCACTCTAATTCATTTTCACACAATAATCCTTTGCTGTTTCCTCTAATCCAAGTTGTGTGTGGCTTTATTATTGCTAATCCCTTAACCAAAATGCTAATTTTTTTTTGTGTTCTGAAAACAAATTCAATCAATTTGCTAATTGTGATCGTTTTCTTTTTTTATCGCTCCCGATGGTCCCCGGTCTCTTCATCACACTCACACACTTTTTTTTTGCTTTTTCATTTATGATTTTTCACTTCAAATTTTTTATTTTACACACACACGACGCACGTTCCTCTCCTTTTCCCCGTTCCATTTTTTACATTTTTCACACACAAGTCGGTGCAAACCTTTTACTCCTCATATCCCAACCAGGCCGGATCAGGACCGAAGTGACTTGCTCCCAGTGCGGCTCTCATTTGGGGCATGTTTTTAACGACGGACCGCCACCCACTAGGAAGAGATTTTGCATTAATTCGGCCTCATTGAGTTTTCTACCAAAGAAAAATGATGATACGGACCATAGTTAAAGTGTTATTTTGACAACTGGTAAAACGCTTGAAAACTTCTACAATCTAATGGCGATTTTGATTTGATTGTCAAGAAAAAGTGCAATCAAATGGAAATCGCTATAATCACTCTAAATGGACCTTTCCCAAAATTCACCAAGATAATACTCATTAACTAACTCTAATCAGTTCCATTTACGGTGAATATTGAAAAATGCCCTTTTTTTTTTGAATTGTTAATTTAAACTAATCAAAAGTTGTATAGTTGTTATAACAATTACTAATACAACATAATAGTAATTTATTTTTATATTAATAAGAAGAATTTGTTGAATAAAAATGCATTGTCAAGATTAATAAATTGTTTATTTGCAATAAAAAAATCATATAAAAAATATTTTTTGTTGATTTAGGAACATACTTAAACGATCTGGCAACCTTGTATCGAGGGTCGTAATAAAAAAAGCAACGTTGCCAAAAGTAGTTTTTCTTAGGAATAAAACAAAACAACTTCCTCCAACAACTGCTTGAAATTATCCTCATCAATTATCACAAACTTTTTCAATTTCCTACTAAAATAATAAATCTCGCCCGTATAAATGTCAAACCAAATAGCGTGTATGTGTAACTGATGTTTCTCCAATCTTTTTCTTAAAAATCCATAACTTGCTATATTTTGTAATTGTTGCAACGTATTGATTTGCGAAAGTCGATCTTCTATCGAAAATTGCTTTTCCGGATCGATATACGCAACGAATTTTCTTAACGGGGTTTCCCCTTGAAACGTCAACGGTTTGTCAAAGTTGTGCTCAGCCAAGTGGTTGAATTTTTCCAAACTGGATTCGGCGTGAGTGCAGAGCCAGGATCTTAACGGGGATAATCTTCGATTTTGCTAAAAATATACAAAATTGTTTTTATCAACTTTTGCCACAAAACTTGCTCCAGAACGCTTTCAAATCTCGCACGGAGCACTCTTTTTTGCTCCTTTATATTCGATAGATCAAAAAAGTACGTTCTGACTGATCTTTGACGTCACCGCACCTAAATAATATTGATCGATTACCTGAGATGCAAATTCCGGATCTCTGAGTTTGTACAGTAAATTTATCGCTTTGCAATCGCTGTGTCCACAAACAATTATATGCCTGATGTCATTTACGACGCATCCTAGTTCCAGAGCAGCTGGTTCGTTGGTGTTCTGTTCGTCTGGAAAGTGTTGCGAATGGGGCACCATATTTCCGGCATTTCTTACTAGAAAACTTGCACTAATTACACTGACCTTGAACTTGTTGCACCAGCTGCACTGACTTTGCAATTACTTGCACTAACTGTTCTAGATAAATAAAAGTGACTCACCAATAAACATATCTCCTACATTTGTTTGCGTGAACCTTGTCGGTATCATTCTACTGTCTATGCACGTAAAAAATACTGCTTTGGGCTGAAAATAATTTTAAATGTAGCGATCTGTAATACCGACATTTTTATTGTAATTACACCAAAAATATAAACAAATAAATTACTTACAGTGGGATTGTCTTTAACTTTTACGAATTGTTTAACCATGGTTTCCTTTACTGTTGCCCTATACTTCATTATTCCCTGTAAGAGTTTGTCCATCACATATACACGATGCACAAATTTGTTTAAATAAATAAATAATTTACAGCGAATGACCTCTAGACTTGGTACGGAACCCGGTCAAGGTCTAAATAAATTATCATTTTTGTAAATGAGAAAAAAGCATTATTTCATAAAGCGATTTATTTTGGGTTTGGAAAAGAAACATGGACAATTAACAGACGAAATAATCTTATCTTTAATATTAATCAATAATAGTTGTTTATTTATGTAATACATAAGTAAGCTTAATTGATTACATAAATTTTGATAATTGATTTAATTTAGGATTGAGATAAGATCTAAATACAGGGTGAACAAAAGATCAGTGCAAAATTGTTTAAAAGAGAGCCAGGATAACTCCTATGACGTCATCTATATGCCTTAACATAATGCAAATTTCCATAAGGTACCCCAAATGCGACATCAAGTTACTTATTACCAGACAATCTATTAACGTTAGGAACCTTGGTATCAGTGTCTTTTTTGGGGGATATTTGTATCTTTTTTCAAATGTTCTCTGCACTGATATACAAAAAAAGAAAACGCTATCTAAACTTTTTATCATAGGTGGCCATGCAAAATCAGAAGTAAAAACTTCTTGGGATTTTTTTGAGATTTCCCCTGGAACAAAATACAGCGCCGTTATCTGGTGATGGCAAACAAATGACGTTATAAAAGTTATCAGACAACCCAAGGTTCCTAAAGTTAAAAAGGTTGTCCAGTAATAGGAAATAGATGACGTTATCGGGGTGCCTTGTGGAGATTTGCATTATAGGCAATTTTTCACGAAGATAATCAAGCATAATCTGATTATGCTGGGTTATGTGATGTGTCAGTTGTCAGGGGTCATACTTCCCTAACTCGCTCTCCATCAAATTCTGAGATACTCGAGGATCAACAAGATTTAATTTCTTCTGTGAGATCTGATCAAAAATCACCTTTTTTACATTTAAAATCGACGCAAAAATTAACTCACTAGCACAGCCTGAATCATAAGAATTCCATAGAGGACTGCGGGTGACGTCATCGCAAGCAAATCCATATAGGGCCACTAAATGTACTGCACTTTTTGTTCTACACTAATTGTACTGTTTGACATTAGCTGCCATGCGCTTTCTGATCTGCACTCTGGTTTCGCTCTTCATTTACCAACTCTACCTTAGAGCCGTTCGAACAGTTAGAACAGTTCAAGTGTGTTCATTAGAAGATTTATTAAATTGGTACATTGGAAAGTTGATTAATTATTCCAGGCTCTTGATCTGAATCAAGAGCCGTGAACAATCATCATTTGCCACACAACACTAGTGGCCCTGCATTAAAAAACGCTGCATTTTTGCTTTACACTTTCTGTTCTACATTAGTTGCTCTATCTAAATTGAGTTCGGAATAGGATTTTAGTGCGATGTTCTTGTAGTCCAGAGTTATATCACGTGATCAAGGTATAATCGACGGTGTAACACCGAATACAGTATCATTTTGTACCTGGTAAATAGTGTCCCAACATCTTTACACCATTCGAGCACCGAATAATTTCTAAACGCAAATAAAGTGTACACCAAACTTATTCCTACCAGTTAACGAACGCCATAGTGTTAATAGTATAAAAGGTGTCGACACTTTGTACCATTTCGAATTCATCTTTAGCATTAGTACAATACATTTTCTGGTCTGCACTGGCTCTGCCCCTTATTTTAGGCTCTTGATCTGAATCAAGAGCCGAGAATGATCATCGTTTCCTACATTCATTTTTGGCTTTGCATTAGCTGGTGTACTTTTGCTTTGCACTTTCTGCTCTACACTAGTTGCACAATTTGCCATCAGCTGCAGTGCACGCTCTAGTCTGCACTGGTTCTGCATTTTATCCGCCGACTCTGCCTTGAAGCAGTTCGAACAGTTAGAAGGTGTTTATTAGAAAATTTAATGTATTGAAAAATTGTTTAACGAAATATTATTCCAGGCTCTTGAACTGAATTAAGAACCAGGAATAATTATCCTTTGCCATACAGCACTTTGTGTTCTGGATTAGAAGCTACAGTTCTACTTTGCACTTTCTGCTCTACACTAGTTGCACTGTTTGGCATTAACTGCAGTGCACTATTTCTGCACCTTATCCGCCGACTCTCCGGTGAAACAGTTCGAACAGTCAGAGGGTGTTTATTAGAAAATTTAATAAGTTGAAAAATTGATTCATTGAAAGATTATTCCAGGCTCTTGAACTGGATCAAGAACCGGGAATAATCATAATTTCCAACACTACACTTTGTGCACTGAATTAGCTACTGCACTTTTAATTTGCACTTTCTGCTCTACACTAGTTGCACTGTTTTGCATCAGCTGTAATGCACTCCATGGTTTGCACTGGTTCTGTATTTTATTCGCCGATTCTGGCTTCGAGCAGTTCGAACAGATAGAAGAGTTGGAACAATTAAAGAATGTTTATTAGGAGATTTAAACCAAGGAGTTTATTAATCAATTTTGGGTATTTTTAGTGCTCCTATAACCAAATTATTCATTTTCAATATCAAAAATTGTCAGTCGTAGACAAATAGCCTATAGGATTTTTGAAGAACTCATGAAATTGCATCTATGATGACGTCATCAAATGAAGATTTATAACATTTTCCGCTTTACTGCTCCGCGCTCCCCGTCTAGGCGGTGAATTCACAGATCTCTGCCGGAGCGTTTCGGATCGTTATTTCATCAATCTGGTGCAGTTTTGAGACAAAAGTCGAAAACGCTATTGAAACCTACTCGATTTGTAATCTTGGGGTTTGTACCGTTTTCAAGTCAGGACGCGGATTCTGTGTTCTGTCGCATTCTATATGTCAAATTCTAGTGTCGATTTCTACATTCATTGTAAGGAAAAATCGTGTAGAAAATGGTACAAGGAATACGAAATATGTCGCTATACAATTCGACAGTGCACGGATGGAATCCGCGTCGGTTAGGAAATATTTTTTGAACGTTCAAGGCTCCCATAAAATCAGAGAAAACCTCAAGGAATGACTAGAAATTCGGCTTTGCACTAAATGCCTGGTTCCAGCAACCCTACACTTTTTGTTCTACACTAACTGCTTTGCACTTTTTGCTCTACACGAGTCACCAATATCTAACTTCAGAGGTTTGTCTTAAGTTATGCAATTTATTTGCCGGTTCAGCTTTAAAGCAGTTCGAACAGATAAAAGAGTTGAAGAATATTTATTAGAAAATTTAAGCCGGGAATAATCATCATTTGCCACACTGCACTTTGGGCCCTGAATTAGCTGCTGCACTTTTTCTTTGCACTTTCTGCTCTACACTAGTTGCGCTATTTGGCATCAACTGCAGTGCACGCTCTAGTCTACACTGGTTCTGCACCTTTTTCGCCGACTCTGCCTTGAAGCAGCTCAAACAGTTAGAACAGTTAGATTAGAGGGTGTTTATTAGGAAATTTGATGAGTTGGAATTGATTCAATGAAAGATTATTCCAGGTTCTTGAACTGAATCAAGAGCCGGGAATAATCATCATTTGCCACACTACAGTTTGTGCCCTGAATTAGCTGCTGCACTTTCTGTTCTACACTAGGTGCACTATTTGGAGTAAGCTGCAGTGAACTCTCTGGGCTGCACTGATTATACACTTTATCCGCTAACTCTGCCTTAAAGCAGTTCCAATAGTTAGAACACTTGAAGGGTGTTAATTAGAAAATTTAATGAGCCGCTATATTGAAAAATTGACTGCTTCTGATCTGAATCGAGAGCCGGGAGTAATCATCATTTGCCACACTGTATTTTATACCCTGCATTAGCTGCTTCACTTTCTGCTCTACACTAGTTGCACTGTTTTGCATCAGCTTTATTGCACTCTCTGATCTGCACTGGTTCTGCATTTTATTCGCCGACGCTGCCCTACAGCAGTTTGAACAGTTAGAACAGTTAAAGGGTATTTATAAGAAGAGTTGCTAAATTGAAAAAATGAGTGAATATTCCAGGTTCTTGATCTGAATCAAGAGCCGGGAATAATCATCAATTAAATTAATTGTAACGAGTCAATGAAAATCATAAGATCGAGATTGTGAGTTCTGAGATTGCTAGTTCTAGAGATTTAATCCAGAGCCGCTTTCGGGTGCAGAGTACGAAGCTCCTAGAGCACGTCACACCGTTTATATTCCATGCGTTTTGCACTCGAACGCTTGAAATCGTATTGCCCGGAGCATGACGCAATAACCATCAAATGGTAGTTATTTCAAGAGTAAGACGGAAAGAAATGAGAGCAGCTCGAGAGCGCCAAAATCTGTTCACCCCAACGAGTCAAACTGTAGCCGGAGTACTCCAAACTAGTTTGGAGGTCTCTGGTACTTCGGAGT